TCTAAAAAAGTTAAATCTGGTCCTCTGGACATTCAAAAAACAAAACAAAGCAAAACAAAAAAATGTAGAAACGTTTCGTCTCTCATCCGAGACTTCTTCAGTCTGAGGTGCTGTATTCAGCTCAGTCTTATAAATAGCACCTTCTCTGAGTGGATCAACCAGTTTGCTGCTGACAACCAGAACCATGTGATGTATACTGTACTGAGACAAGTTCATTACTTTATATTGCCAGTAGGTGGCACTGTGCTGTTATAAAAGACCTGAATGATGACGAGTAAAGGGCATTGTCTTCCAAACATCAGCGTCTGTCTCATGATATGTTACATGGTGTCAGGAGTGAAAGAAAAAGAGAGTGGATTAACCTTGCAAATGAAAGAACATGGACCAGATGAAACCTCCAACCTCATTAAGTCTAGAAGGAAATCTAGCAGAAAACTGGAGAGTCTGGATTCAGAGATTTGAACTGTCCCTTGTTGCCAGTGGAATTGAGGAAAAATCTGATGTTGTAAAAAAGACACGTTTCTGCATGTAGCTGGAGATGAAGCCATCAAGGTATACAACACCTTTGATTTTGTTGAGGACGCTGATGAAAATGCTGATAACTACGGTCAACTGAAAGAGCTGTTCCACAAGTATTATGAACCAAGAAAAAATGTGCCCTATTTGAGGCACCTGTTCTTCACTCGAGTGCAAGGAAAATCAGAGACTATTGATTCATATGTGACTGGTTTAACGAGTAAACCCAAAGACTGTGAGTTTGAGCCCCTCACAGACTCACTGATAAGAGATAGAATTGTGTGCTGAATCTCTGATGAAGAAAAGTGCCCGTTGTTCTCAAAGACAAAATTGAAGCAGAACTAAAAAGAATGGAAAGTGTGGGTGTGCTAACTAAACAGACAGAGCCAACAGATTGGGTGAATAGCATGGTTACAGTAACCAAACCCAATAAGGTAAGGATCTGCATTGACCCACAGGACCTGAATAAAGTCAAGTCAACTTTATTTATAGAGCACATTTAAAACGGAACCTGTTATCAAAGTGCTTAACAATACAACAATCAATGAGTAAATTAAAGAGAATATATATATATATATATATATATATATATATATATATATATACACTACACGAATAATAATAACTGAAGAATTAATAAAAAGCATTTAAAACATAGGGTCACAGATTAAAAAACACTAGATCAATTTACACTGTATGAAATGCCTGAGAGAACAGATGTGTTTTCAGCAGGGATTTGAAGTGTGTAAGGGAGGTGTCCTGCCTGATGTTGGGGGGCAGGTTGTTCCAGAGTTTGGGGGCCATGACTGAAAAAGCCCGATCTCCTCTGAGCTTCAGTCTTGTTTTTGGAACAGCCAAAAGCAGCTGATCAGATGATCTCAGGGCCCGAGAGGGAACGTAAGGTTCCAGAAGCTCAGAGAGGTAAAGGGGTGCGAGGCCATTTAAGCATTTGAAGATCAACAGAAGAATTTTAAAAACTATCCTCGTATGAACAGGGAGCCAGTGAAGGGAGGACAGAACTGGAGTAATATGTTCAGACCTACAAGTTCCGGTTAAAAGCCGAGCAGCAGCATTCTGGACGAGCTGAAAACGTGAGATGGAGGCCTGGCTGATCCCAGCATAGAGTGCATTGCAATAGTCCAATCGGGTCGTGACAAAGGTGTGGACTAGTTTCTCAAGGTCGGGTCTGGACAACACTGGCATGAGCTTAGCTACCTGTCTGAGTTGGAAGAAACTTTTCTCCAGAACAGAGTTGATTTGTTTGTCAAACTTGAAGTCAGAGTCTAAAACCATCCAGAGATTTTTACCAGACTGCTTCAGATGTGGCTGAAGAGAGTCCAGGTTGACAGGATCAGTGGCGGCAGTTGAGCTAGGGCTAAAAACAATGACTTCAGTCTTGTCATTTGTAAAACAAGAAATTTGAAGCCATGCATGCCTTAATGTCATCCAGACATTTTAACAGAGGGTGAATGGAGCTTGCTGGTTTCACAGGCAGGTAGATCTGGCAGTCATCAGCATAGCAACGGAATGAAAGACCATGTTTCCTCAGGATGGACCCCAGTGGGAGCAAATAAAGTAAGAACAGAAGGGGTCCAAGAATCGAACCCTGTGGGACCCCACAAGAAAGAGGTAATGAGGCGGATACATTGTTACCAACCTTGACACAGAAGCTCCTGCCACTTAGGTATGAGCGGAACCATTCTAATGCAGCACCTGTGATCCCAACCCACTGTTCCCATTGTGATATAAGGATACTGTGGTCAACAGTATCAAAAGCAGCAGTAAGGTCCAGGAGCACAAGTACCACAAATTGACCAGAATCGTTTGATATCATAATGTCGTTACAAACCCTTACTAATGCTGTTTCAGTGCTCTGGAGTTGCTTAAAATCAGATTGAAATTTTTTGAAGATTCTGTTCTCATTCAAAAACTTGTTTAATTGAATGAAAACTATTTTCTCCAGGAAGGGAAGTTTTGAGTTTGGTCTGAAATTTGAGAAAGTCGAAGGGTCAAGTCCAGGTTTCTTAATTAACGGATGAACTACTGCATGTTTGAAAACATCGGGAACCACACTTGTCACAATACTACTTTTTATAATAGTAAGAACAGAGGGTCCAATCGTGGGTAGAACTTGTTTGAAAAACGACGCAGGAATGGGGTCAGCAGGGGAACCGGAGGGTTTCATCTGACCAACGACTTTGTTTAGAAATGGGAGTGAAATGGGTTCAAACTGAAGACAGCTGAGCAAGGGACAAAGACAGAGGGGTCAGTTGTGGACTGGGGGATGGATGACCTAATCAACTCTACCTTATCAGCAAAGTATCTGGTAAAGTTGTTGCAGATGTCAACAGAGGCCTCCATGCTGGCAGACCGAGGCACGTTTAAAATGGAATTTACGGTGTAGTGAACTGGGCCTCGACCAAAACCTGTCTCTGAAGACCTTCAGGGGACAGGAACTGTTATTTCATTGATTTGAATCCAGAAATACAAATTAGCTCATCCAGAGACTGTCTAATTGTATCCTGAATTAATCAATTGAAAGAACACTCTTCTTTTTATATTATCATTACTATTTTACAATATCTTGATAATCAAAAGTGTGTTTAGTTCATATCATTTCTAATGTTGAAGTGAACCACTCATTTTAAATCAACTGTGAAACAGTATTAATGATTTTTAAACCTCATTAGACTTAGAAATCAAGTTAAATGTCTATTTACAAAGTAATTATGCATTTTGATCTTCTGTCTGAATGAGAAGTAGTGATGTCGGTCAAAAGTCAGAGACAGTCAGAAAACAAGTTATTAGAACGGACTGTATTGTTTTTAAACCTAGCAGACGGTAAAAAGAGAAACACTGGCAGCTGCGTTCCTCTCACTTCTTCAAAACATTTCTCTGTCTAAACGTTCCTAAACATTCTTGAACCCTCTGACATCACTAGAACCACCTCCTGCTCGTTGTTTCAACCAATCAGGAAGTATTAAGTGACCGGAAGTGAAGACTCTTTAAAAGTCGACACTTCCTGGAACTATTCAGTCTTGGAGTTCTTCTGAGTCTTCTTGACTCTTCAGTCTTTGATGGAGTCTTCTCAAGACTTCTGGAGTCTTCCACTTCTGAGTGGAAACTCTGACGGAGTCACAGATACTTGCTGTGAATCCACCCGGGCGTAACGGCTACAACTTCAAAGGAAGCGTGTCTGTTTAACGGAGTAAACCACACGACTTCTGACGATGCTCAGCTACCCTAACCGTAGACGCTGTAAAAGGTAGCGTTGAAATGGACCCGGTACCGGAGCTGATTCATCTTCTGCGAAGGTACACGAGTCGTCACGCGCTAAGTGTACCCGAGGTTTGAGCTGGTGTTGAAAGAAGCGTGCTAATTCTGGACAACAACATACACCACCTTCCACCTACAACTTCACTTCCGGCGAGCTGATGGACAGCAGCTCCCTCCGGCTTCTCTGCAGTCTTTTATCATCAAACTGACCCGTTTTTCGAACCGGACTAAAGCTGGTCCTCCTTCCAACCGAATTCGGTGTTCAGTGACTCAGAGAGCCGGACGGGATCGTCCAAAAAAAATATTTTGGCCCAGGACCGATCGGCCGCACCCCCCCATCGGTCACTCTGAGCGCACCCTGCCGGCCAGGTGACCCCTCGAGCTGGGGAGTCGACGCACGAAGGTCCGGTGTTTTTTCTCTCTCTCTCTGGACCTCAACGAACTTTTATCTGGACCTTTGTGGTTCTACCTGGTTCCGACAAATATCGCCGGGTGGTATTTTGCTGGTTTTCAGCTGGACTGGCCCTCGTGGTGTCTCCATAGGTGTGGGGGAAGTGTACCTGTGTCCCTCGAATTGGACCAGAACCGAACCGGGGTGGCTGTGGGGGAATTCGTCTTCTACAGAGCCGGTCTCAGCTTCAGTGAGCAGCCCGTTACTTTTACTGAAGGACGATCCACCTCCGTGGAGTCGCTGTGTTCACCTGGAGGAGACGCTCCGGTGCTTTGAAGCGCCGCCGGACCGGAGCAGAACCGCGCCGCCGGACTGGGCCGCCGGACCGGAGCAGAACCGGGCCAGGGATATCTTCAGCCTCTTCGTCTCTCGTGCTTGGAGCGC